GCCCCGGTTTCGGTTCTCTGGCCAGGGCTTTGGTCGACGCGCCAGTTCCGTCCGGCTTCAGGCTGGAGAGAGAGCTGGTTCGCCGGCCACCCGAGCGCTTGCCCGAGAGACCGATGCAGGGCGGATCTTCCAGGCCACTTCGCCCAGGCGAACTTCCAGCTCAACACCACGGACCTCGCCCTTTTGGACGAGTGGCAGGGCGCGGACTTGGCCGCGCAGCTCCTGGCGAGCTGGATCCCTTGGGGGAACGAGAACGCGCGCTGCCTTCGTGCTTCGCTGGCTTGTTGCGGGGAGCCAGCATTGACGCGCGTCGGCCCCGGGCTACGGCCGGAGGCCGCGCGCGCTGATGCCTGTCCCTGCGGGAGCCCGCGGAGGCGCGATAGCGGCGCTCGCTCGTTGTTCACCCACAGGCTCACCCGGGTGTGGGCCAATGCGGACAGCGGCGCCCACCGGCTCCTGCAGGAGTACAAGAGGCGCACGGGGCGGGAGCTGGCGGAGGGCAAGGCGCTCGACGCCAGCGGCTTTGAGGGGGCCGCGGCCGCCCTCAAGGTGAGGCAGGCCTACCCGAGGTGATCGGGGGGCGGGCGAGCGACGCCGCCGGCGTCGAGGGTCGTTTTCCATGGTGGAGAGACGGCAGGTGATTGCAGCTCCTGCGCAGTCGTGTCCGCGCCGTTCAAGGCGGCGCGAGCGCGACCGCGCGCGCGCGCCGAAATCAGCGGTCGTGTCCCTCCGCGGAAGCGGCCGCCGGCGCGCGCGCGGCGCGCGTCGACCCGCGTTCCCCCCAAGGTACCAGCTGCACTTCTACCAGGGGGCGCGGAAGGTCCTGAAGCTGCCGGGACAGAAGTTCAAGCAGCTGCCGGCGCCTCCGCGGCGCGCCCAAGGGGGGCGAGGCGACGACGGGCCGCCTTCTCCGGTGACGACGGTCTTCCGAGAGAGCCCCAGCCTCTCGTGGCAGCCCGCCGCCACCTGACCGGAGGCCGCCCTTCTCGCTCCGTTTTCTCCTGCGCGCGCCGCCGAGGTGCTGACCAAGCTGCTGAGCACTCTCCTGAGCCGCGGAGCCTTCACCAACGCGGCCAAGGTCGGGTCGGAAAGATGGAGGGCAGCGGGGATGGGGGCGGCGAAACGGGGCGCGCGCAGCTGCGCCGGCGGCTGCCGCGCATCGACGAGAATGCGCGGCGGCAGCGTCGAGGCCAGGTGCTCGCGACTGATTTCACCGCCGCTTCTCTGCGGACCCCTCTGTCCTCCGCCTCGACGAGGCGCTGAAGGAGGGCCGCCGCAGCCTGGACACGGTCCTCGAGAAGACGCTCCTGGTGACCACGCCCTGGCACAGGATGCTGATCTCGAGGGACCTGGCGGTGCCGCGGGAAAGGAAGTGCGGCGTGGGGCCGCAGCGCCGCGGCTGGCGTCTTGCGTCGGGGCTGGATTCGCGCGGCGGCGCCGCGCAGATTTGGCCCCGGCGCGAGCCAGCTGGCCGGGGCAGCTGCTTCGGTACCCGAGCCGCGCCCCAGGCGCTGGCGCCCCGGGTGGCGGCCAAGGCGGGCTTCACGCTCGAGAGCAACACCTTTGTCGGCGACGGCGCCGAGGACGTGTTGGAGCGCTGCCAGGGCACGAAGGGCGAACCCTCGGAGCATGGGAGCGCGAGAGACGCGCCGACTCCGATGCCTCCCGTTCTCTGCTCCGCCCGCCCCGCCCTATCCGGCTGGCGGGGGAGGGCGGGAGACGGGCGGGGCGGCCGGGCGGGGGGGCGGGGGGGGGCATCGGCATCGGCGCGTTCTCTCCTCCATCCAGGAGCGCCTCCTCGCGCTCCACCAGAGACTCCTGCCGCTGCTCTGGAAGCCTGCGGACTTCACGGTCGCCTGGACCGTGAGCCACACGGAGGACGCCTGCTGCGAGCAGCGCAGGCGGTTGTGCGACGAGAACCATGCGTGCGCACTGGCCCTGGCCTGGCCCGCCCTGAGGAAGATCCGCGCGCGCGTTTCCCTGGCCGAGCCTGGGGGCGCGCGCGCCGGCCCTGGGCCTCGGGGCGGGCTGGGCCGAGGTCGCCGCGGGCGCATAGTAATCGCCCACCCCCCAAGGTGGGAGACGCGCAAGGAGGGCAAGCGCAAGCGCGACAAGGGCGTCCAGCGCGCCCACGTCGCGCAGCAGAGGCGGAAGGCTTTCCCGCGGGAGGGGACTGCGATGACGGCCACGCCGCGGGTCGCCTCGCCTTCCCGCAGGGGAAGCAGGGGGGGCCCCCGAGTCCGCCCCGTCGAAGGGGGGGGAAGAGGAGGAGGAGGAGGAGGAGGCGAAGGGGGAAGGGGAGGAAGGGAAAGGAGGAGGCGGGGGCGGAGGGCTGAGAGAAGGCGAGGCGGCTCGGCGGCGGGGGCAAGTCGCTCGTAGTCCTCCCGCCGCCAAGGCGCGCCTGAGCCGGGTCTGGCAGGGGGTCGCCAAACGGCGCCCGAAGGCGCCCGAGGTTTTCAGCAACCTCGCGGTTGCGCGGGCGTGCAAGCTTCGCCCCTAGGGGGACAGGGCGAGCGGAGCTGCACGGGGGGCGGGGGAAAAAACGCGAGAGCACGCGCCGCGGACAGGGATTCACATCTGCGGTACAGCGGAGTAGCGATGGGCGTATCCAATTTTTCCCCTATCAAAAAACGCACTTTGTAGTTGTTCAAAATGCAGTGTTTTCCCCGTGCGAACTCGCTCGAATGTAGAAAAACATATGGTTTTTTGTTCATTTACTTGCTTCGATCGTCATATCGTGCGAGCGTTTGTCGTTCGAGGGCATCCCTTAGGTGATAAACTTATAGTTTTCCTATTGTGTTTTCAATGATTCGCCGCGTTCGCACGGGGAAACCCTAGGCAATTTGATACAATTTTGTGCTCTCGTTGCGGCCTCTCTGCGACGGGGGCCGAGAAGACTTCGGCGCGTTATTTGCGGGGCGCCCCGCGGGGCAACGAAAAGCGCAAGGGGGGGTCCTTGCCTCCGCTTTCTCGGGGCCTTGCCGCTTTCCCTTTTCTGGATTATGTCCGGCAGTTTGCGCCGGGGGGGGGGTCGCGTCGACCTTGGAACAGGGGCGCCGCCTCTTGAGGTTGGGCGCATTAGGGCATTCCCCGAGCGCCCGAGGCAAAGGGCCCGAGACGCACCGCCCCTGCCTCTGCCTCTGCGCGGCGCCCCCCCCGCCCCGCGCCGACTCGCGGCGATGTCCGCTGACCTGCAACTGCTGTACCGCCTCTCGGCGAGTACGTGGAAGGTGGCCGCGGGCTGCATTTGCAACGCCCCCGCCCCCGCCCTCGCGGTAGATTGCCATCTGTAGCAATGCGTGAGTTTGCTGGTGTTCCCCAGGGCGAGTGGGTCGATGTGAAGACCGCCCACTGGCCCAACTTCGTGGTGAAGGGCAACCCCGGCGCGGACGATGGGGCCATGTTTGCGCGCGCCGCTGTCGCGCACGTGGCGAAGCTCACCCCGGTCGGGTACGACCGGGTGTGCAGCTTCAGCTGGTCGCCCGCGCTGGCCTGCGGGCGCTTGGTCGACCTGGCAGCGACCGGGGGGATATCGCGCGCCCCCGTCTCCTGCCCCATCGGCAATAGATATGACCCCCGCCTCTGTCATCGACGCGGGCCGGCATTGTGGCCAATCGGCGCCGGGGGGGGGGGGGCCTGCGGGGGTAGCGAGCGCGATATCGACGCCAGGCACACGACGCCGGCGTTGACTTGAGCCACGACATGATGATGCACGTGGCCGTCAAGGACGGCGTTGCGCAAATTAGCATTTAACTGTCTAGTTAAACACGATTAGTACGCACTCGACACTCCTCACTTTTTCCTCCGAGCGGTCGCCAGTGATGTCTGTCGCCTCCTCCTCATCCTCCTCGCCCCTTTGCCAGGAGGGCGACGGCTTCCTGGACCTGTCCACCATGGGCTGCCTCGTCCGCGCCTGCCAGGGCTGGGAGGCGGGCGATTGGACTTGGAAGGGCATGGACATGTGGCGTGTCCAAGACTTCGCCGTCAAGAAGTTGTCAGAGGTCTGACTGTTCCAATCGATCCTGGGGGGGGGGGGGGGGGGGGGGGCATCTTTGTCTGTAGATGAGATAACCGAATGCGGGGGTCGAGTCGACCGGGGCGATCGACGCCGATCCGAACGCCCTTTCCCCGTCGATTGTCGAATTGTTCCTGCGATGAAAGCGATGGCGAACCTATCCGCAGCGAGTGTCCGTTGACCCGGCCGCCCGGCCACTGCCGCGCCGCCGCCCCCCCTTCCCCCCTCTCTGCGCAGGTGGCCGGCGACCGCGCCAAGCTCCCGGAGAAGCGCTTCGCGACGCTGCGCCCGGCGCTGGACTTGCCGCGCGAGCTCGTGCTTCTCTGCGGCCGCACGCAGTGGCACAAGCTCGACGCCGCTGGCCAGCAGCGCCTCGACGCGGACCTCAGGAAGCACATCCTGGCGCTTGTCGAGGATTGCGAGGGGGGGCAGGCAACGACGCAATCCCCTTGCGGTTGATCAGACGGCATCGCCGCGAGCAGGGCGGGCTTTTCTCCTCTGCGTCGGCCGGGGAGTGGCGCCTCCGAGAACCATTTGGTCCGCTGAATGTTTCTCGCGGCGCCCCTCCTGGTGAGCGGTGAGGTCGCCCCAGTTAACGCGGGGGGATCGCGCGTTGACCCCCCCCCCCCGCAGGACCAGCTCGCGCAGCCGCGCTGAGGTGGGGCCGGCCGAGCCGACCGTCGCGGCGAATCGCCGCGCTGGCGGCGCTGCGTGGGCAGCGCCACTTGTATATGTATACATTGCACCGCTGCGTTCCTGTCGAACGCCCGTTCCCTATCCACGGTCTGCCTCCTCCTTCCTCATTCAGGCTTCCTTTCGTCCTTCCCCTCGCCCGCCATCGCCGCCCCTCGCCCTTTTCGCCTTGCTCGGGCCTCCTCGAGTGACGTTGCTGCGCCCCCCCCCGGCCCATAGCGCCTGCCCCGACCACCTTTGCCTGGCCTGATCACCCTTGCGCCCCGCGCGTCGGTCGACGCATCGAGGGGGAGCGATTGCGCCACTTTCTGTGTTGCGAACGCCTGCTCCTTCCCCTCGCCTGCCTCCTCCCTCATCCAGGCATCGCTGCGTTCTTCCCCTCTCATGCCAGATTCCCCATCGCCGTCCCCCGCCCTCTTCGCCTTGCTCGGGCCCCTTCGAGCGACGCCGCTGTCTCCCCCTCCGGCCCATAGCGCCTGCTTCGATAACCCTTGCCTGGCCTGATCACCCTTGCGCCCAGCGCGTCGGTCGACGCATCGAGGGGGAGCGACTGCGCCACTTTCTGTGTTGCGAACGCCTGCTCCTTCCCCTCGCCTGCCTCCTCCCTCATCCAGGCATCGTTGCGTTCTTCCCCTCTCATGCCAGATTCCCCATCGCCGCCCCCCGCCCCCTTCGCCTTGCTCGACCCCCCTCGAGCGACGCCGCTGCCTTCCCCTCTGGCCCATAGCGCCTGCTTCGATAACCCTTGCCTGACCTGAGCGCCTGCCGAGCCGCCCTCGCGCGCAGGGCCGGCGGCGGCGGCGATCTTCATCGCGACGACGATGCTCGGCGGCGACGTCGGGGCCGCAGGCGCGCCCGCCGCGCCCGCATGGCCGACCGCCGCTGCATCGCCGTCGCCGCCCGACGTCGGACATCTCGCCCCGCCCGCAGTTTTGCGCGCGCGACTGTTGAAAACGCGTGCGCTTTCCCCGTGCGAACTCGCTTGGAAGTCAAAAAACCTTAGTGATTTGGACCGTTTATCTGTTCAGTGGCTGCACTCGGTGTGGTTTTCGTTTGACGTGGGTCGCCGCGTTCACTGTGAATGTACGTTTTCCTATTGGTTTTTGATGAATCCAGCGAGTTCGCACGGGGAAATGCATGTGTTTTTTGTGTGTTGATCCTTCGTCGTGGCGCCTCGTCCCCTGGGTCCCTCCAGAGAGCTCGCATTGCTGCGCGACCGACGCGATGTCTTGGACTTTGGGTTCGCGGTCGGCCGCTGGATGCCGCTGCGAGCCACCCCGGATCACTGGAGAGCACGATGGAGGCTTCTGGGGGTTCGCCAGGAGCTGCCAGAGACCGCGGGGGGACACTGGGAGCGTTGAGGCGCCGTCCGGTAGCTGCTCGGGCTCAATTGTGCGCCCCGGCAATTCGGACCGTCGAGCTCCCTCCCCTCGCCCGCAGCCCCTGGCCCGCGGCGCATGGCGGCGCTGAACGACGACCTCTTCGAGTACGCCGAGTTCCAGGTGGACGAGCAGGACCCGAACCAGCACGTGGACTGGAAGCTGCTGCCGATGCGGCAGGCTTACCGCGTCTGGGCCGGCGAGGGCACGATGTACCTGGGCAGCATGCACGACGGCCTCTACAAGTACCACCTGACGCCGTGCGTGGCGCCCTTCATCGCGGACCACGGCCTCGTGTGGAAGCCGACGAATGGATCCCGGCCGTGGGCGCCGCGCTGCGCGCGGACCCGATCGATCGCGATGTCTGGGCGATCTGTCGATCGGTCCCAGATGGTCTGTTCGCTCGGTCAGTCGAGCGCTGGCGCGGGCTGCCTGCCGTGGCCTCACAGCGATCGAGCGTGGCCGTGAGGCGATCGGACGGCTCGTCGCGATGGGGTCTTGCTCGACCCGAAGATCATCGATGGCTGCCGCCTGCTGTCCGTCTCCCCGCATCTGCCGCGTGGAGGGGGGTGGAGGGGAATGTGGGGGTGGAAGGCGAGCGGGTCGGCCCGCCGCAACGCTGCGAGCTCACTGACAGCGGATGCCGAGGTTTTCACGCGCCGTGTCGCGCCTGCCACGATCGAGATCGATGCCGCGGGCTTCGAGCGCGACGCGGGCGCGATTCACCTCCACGTCACCTGCGATCGCGACGGCGATGTTCGCAATCACGTGCTCCGCACCTCGGAGTCGTCGACTGTGCAGATGGCGATCGGGGATCTGTCGTTGGCCGTAGGCGTAGGCATGTTCCCCCTCCCGCTCCTCTGGGCACGTTGCGAGTGATAGCCTCTGTGCCTCGGAACAGGGTCCCGGGCCCGTCACGTGCCCCTTGCCCCGTGGGTGGGGTGGAGGTGCGGGCACTCGCGTCGGGGCGGCGCCCCCCCCAGGTGAAGAGCGAGCTCCGCGTCGCGATGGGCTGGCCGCCGTACACGCCCGTGGCCTGGGCTGGCATCGACGATGCGGCGAAGCGCCAGAACGTCAGGTTCGCGCCGGCGTGCGAACCCTGCCCCTGCAGGTTGAACCGACGCCGGGGGGGGGGCGGCGCCGGACACTCTCGCCAGGGGTGGGGGGCGGGGGGTTGTCCTCCGGACTACATGCGCCCCCCCCCCCCAGAGTCTGAACCCCAGCCTGCGTCTTGGATACCGCTGACCTGCAGGGTTAGAATGGGGATCGCGCGTGGTCGCCCGCCAGGGTGAGCACCATCTTTGGATTCAAGCGCCCCCGCCTGGACCAGTGAGGGCGGGCCTCGCGCGCGTGCAGGCGCCCGCCTGCATGGCCCGTTGTGGCGGGCAGGCGAGTTCGCGCCGTCGCGGGCTG